GGCATGTATTCTGTATTCTGTAATGGAATACATTTTAAAAGTAACCTTCCCAACACTGCGTACCACTCACCTAAATGTTATTGCAAACCAATCTGTCTCCATGGCAAAAGCACTCCTGGTGGCAGTGGCCTTTCCCTTTTTCATCAACAGCATGCACTCTAATATATATACAACAAAAACCAAGGCAGCTCCAGGGATGTCAGTGTGATCGAGCATCATTGGCAGAGGACGTCTGACGTGCAGAGACGCCGCTCGGCAGCCCACAGGTCCAAACTGGATGTGCCACTGTCCTCGTGCAAAGCGGCTCACGGGTTACACATCCACGTCTTTCGTCTGTGTTTGGGAGGACGTGAGCAAACAGAATTGTTTTAAAGAGTTCCCTTTTTTAGATCACAGCAGTGTCTTTCCTGAGTGGCATGCATGTGCTGAGCGTTGGTGTGTTATTAAGCATGATGACTAAAGCCTGAGAACACCCAGTTCTCTCATCAGTTCATGTTTCCGATGCCCCTGTCTGTCAGTGTCACTGCAAAGAGACATGCTTTCCTTCCTCCTGTTGCATTACAAGAAATGCGCTGCTGTGTGAGAGCGGCACACTGAAATAACTGCCATTAGGACCCACACACTCTAACCCCGATGGCGAATGCATTATAGATGGCCACTTCACAATGTGTCAAATCATATCTTGATTTGCATGTGTATCACACATTTGATCTTCTTCAAGCAGGAATAACAACCAAAGCAGAGAGATCTGAGAGATTTTCAGCGCTAGAAGAGCGAGAGACATGGAGCTCAGCACTAATGAAGACGTCTTTCTGCTGAGGTTCAGAAATGATGTTGGGCTTGTGATGTTTTCCACAGCGAATGTGTTTGTGCTACAGAGCAGACTTCGCCTGTTCAAATGAATAGCAAAGGATGCTTTGCAGTGAGCGTGTGCTACTTCCCTGACTTTGTTTTTCAAACCTAAAATGAAATATCTGCAAAAGCCAGTGTTTAACAGCGATGACACCTACACCTCTGTAAATGCACAAAAGCCATCTGTTAAGTCCGTAGCAATGCTGGCAGTCTTGTAGCCAGAGCACATCGAAGCACAAGCTGTGGGAGTGGTAGTAAGCCTCTCAGCGTTTGCCAACACTGTTGTGTTGTACATTGTACAATTAGTGCAGATAATTTCATTCATGGTTTAGTCTTCTGTCTACAGGAGCCTTCTTGGAGCCTGCCAGGAGGATTTACTCTAATCTATGGGTCTGTCTGGGATGCTACCTGGGTGCATTGTGACAAACGATTAATGCACAGCCGAATGTAGTTCTGAGAGACACTGGTCAAAATAAAATAGAGTAAAACATACAGTGAAAGACCAGAACACAAATCACATACACACTAAGAGCAATTCGCCTGTTTAGCCATTTATGTCAGAGAGCAGAGCGTGGCGTCGTCTTCAATCACAATTATCTTGAGTTTGTCTAGTCCGGCCTCCTCACGTTACCCTCCTAAGTTTTTTCCCAGGTCTGTTCGAGAAAAACATGAAAGTGTTCAGAAAGTCTAGTTTTGGACTTTTGTTCCATATCTGTTAAAGTGTATGTAGGTTACCACCATTATAACAAGGTGTCACAGGTTTGCATGCACAGCTCTCAGATTCAGTGGGCTTTAAAAATACCTTGGTTTTCCTCATCCAGAAAATCTTTCGTACTTTAGCGTTACCGTTGTAATAACCTAAAATACCAACATCGTTTTCTCATTTATCTGGACTGTAAACAGGCTTTTATGCTTCTTCGATCTCACCGAGCATGTAACCAAAATGAAACATAAACCTTTAAACTGAGGACAACCGTCTCTACCCAACCAACCCGGTTACCCGAGCATTTGTATTCCACCGGTTTCTTTACAGTTCAACATACTAATTAATCCTGTTTGACAAGCAGACGGGATTATTGCGTTTCCAGTCACACTCTGATCAACTCATCCAAAGAGGCTACACAGACTCCAACGTGTCCGGCTAAGTGTGCAGTGTTGGCCTGTCCCAGTGGGATGGAGCTTCTATGAATTTCCACTCCTGGAAATTAGTCGTAGTTTTACTATCTGTGTGCACACTCGCATAGGCCACAGAGATTTCAAGAATTTATGTGAAGTCCTGATCAAATTTAAACTGGTGGACTGCTCGTACTGGGACTTTCTGCCCAGTCAGCTTTTTGATTGGGAAACGTCCTGCCAACTTTCTTTACAGCAGCGATTGTATGTCAGCGCCAACAAGAAAGACAAAGTGTATGTGTACTCAATGTGTAAACACTCTGCTGCAACTTTTCCACTGACGGGTCAAAGAGCAAAGGGCTGTTTGAGGCCGATGGCCGTGGGGGGCACGTACTGTCCCATCCGAATCTGTTACAACCCTTTGAAACCTCTGGGATTTAGTCACCAGTTAATTCCCAAAAGTTTGAATCCATCTAATCTGCTAACCTGACATTTCTTTATTTGTTAGTTGATTTATTTAAAAAATGCTTCCATGAGTTTAATCCATAAACAACATGTTTTATTTCATGTTCTACAGCTTTATTATGTAACTCGTGTTTTACATTTTTTATTGTTTTTAAGTGTTTTGGTGTTTTTAACTTGTATTGATATGCATCAGTTTTATTTATTTATCTCTTTATTTTCAAATAGCTGTACAGCACTTTGTTTGAAAGCGCTTTATAAATAAAGTTATTATTATTACTAACTAAAGCAAAGTGTTCTTAACACAAATATTAAAATGCTTCTGTGAAGACTGGTAGCCGTTACAAATATTTCTATAATGTAAATAATGTTTTCAATCGTGATCCTCAAAATGACATCATTACAGTGGCATCGTCTCACAAGCAGCTGCCGTTATATAACTGTCAGGTTGGTGATATTGCCCATGAACAGTAGCTCCCAGCAGAGTTTTCAAGAATGAAAGCCAAGGAGGGCCCGTCATTTCTGACTGATGGTGGAAGGCTGAGCCAAGCTTTGGAGATGTGATGGCTGCTGAATCTCTTCCTGTCTCAGTGACACTGAGGGGGGCAGTCTGGGGCTGTTTTCTAACTCCACTGTTAGTCTCTTTTAGTGTCTTAGAGTCCAGCAAAAGTAAAGGAGTGGGGATGTTCTAGCATTATTCCCTAATAAGAATTAAAAAAGAAAGTCAGCATGAGAAGCAGAGACTGGTGCATGCTCTTTTTATGGGGTTTCTGGGGCAGCTGTAGATCAGAAGTTAGAGCGGGTCATCATTGGATACTAATCAGAGGTTTGGTGATTGATCCCCGGCTGTTCCAGTCAGCAAATATCTGTAGGGGAAGATACCAACCCAAAGTTGCTCTCTGATGAATGTTAGATAGAAAGCTCTTAAGCATAGAAGGTTGGGCGTGTATGGATGGGTTTAATAATAGATGCTGTATATACAGGGATGGTCAAGTTAAAAAAAAAAAGTAATTAGATAACCTTTCAATAAACCTGCCAGTCCTATTTTTTGCAAAATCCTTCATATAAAATATAATCAAATGAAAAACTCTCTTTTAAAAATGCTCGTTTGTCATTGTGTCATGAGACACTCTCACAAAATCATAACCGCATGTTTGGATAATATGGGGATTCTTGTTTGTCGCCTATGTTGTCAACACTTGCACGATGTGGACATACAACAGTTAATCTCTCTATTTTTAAACTACGTTTACCATTTCTCTCACATTTCAAAATAATATCAGGGAAAGATGGAAGGTCAGAATGACACCCAAATGAGTCTTTAACTTGTTTTAACAGGTTTCATTAAAAACTGCCAAACTGTTAACTCAAAGCCTAAAAGGATTTGAGTTCATTTGATCGTAGATTTGGGGTTGATGTCCACCTGAGCAGTTTCCCTTCCTTTTTTAACCTTGAACAGCCTGAAACATGAAATAACTACAAGAATATTCAAATTTTTTTAAACTTAAATGTTTATTGAACCTTCTGACAGTTTTTTTTAGAACGAGAGTGCAATTAAACATCAGTTTTCACATATGGATCTTGATTTTTCATATTTTTGCTACATTTGTTCCTTAAAAATGTGTAACTTATTCAGATTCATTCATAAGTGGACGAGAGATGAGAATATTCTAAATATTTATTAGAATCTGTTGAAATGCTACTCGGCATCTAATGTCAGCGAGCGGGTTAGATAATAACCTTCTCCCATTGGAGGGAGAATTAAACGGAGATTTTCCTGGAGCAGTCGGGACAGTGACCCCCAAACTGAGCAAGTGGCTTCTGTAAACCCCAGAGTGTCTTTGTAAGTCTGGGATTTAGTAACTAGTTTTCTTGCCCTATGAGCCACATCTTAGGGGAATATCTCAGAAACAAACCACAGCAAAGTTCTCATTTACTTAGTATCAATATTTTTAGTTAAAACTATGGTAGTCTTAAGATTTCTTCTTTTTTACCTGAGCAAAATGTCCTCAATATTACTTTTGTAGACCACATAAATTAGTGTGTGCAGACTGACAAATATGTGTTTAGTGTGAGCGCTCAGTCTTTTATATCATGAAAGGATCCTTATGATGACAACTGTGATCAAACGTGTCATCTCACAACTGTGTGCCGTTATGAAGCTGTTGGTTTGTTGATCCTGCCCATGAAGAGGATGCTTCCAGTCGAGTTTTCTACAATGAAAACTAAGAAGGGCCTGTCAATTCTGACGGGTGTTGGTGTAGTCAGTAGGATCCATTCAGAAATGGTGATGGCTGCTGCCTCTGTTCCCATCTCGGTGACACTGATCGTGGCCTTGTGGGATGCCTGTGGGAAAAAATAAGAAAGCGGGCAGATCAAAGCTAATTTCTCAGAATTCAGTTTAACCAAAAGAGTAGGCATGCTCTAGTCCTGTTCCCTAAAAACAAGTAAAAAGGAAACTTCGCCCACCTTTGATACTTTAAGTGGAAACTTGTTTGACACAGCAGAGAAATCCGCGGTGTTTTCAAAAGCACTTGTGATGCCCATTTCTTGCAATATATTCCTCAAGGAGGCATTAGTGGCAATGGAAAATTTTGGCATATAAAGTTCCACATACCTGAGAAACAGAGAAACCATAATTATACAGTTACACTGCTGGTGGTTCCGTCTTTTTCTAACTGGCTCAGCTCGATCTTCACTGCAACAGTCTGGAACAACACCCGCATTCCTGCTGACGCCAATCTGCCAGTGCAGCTTACACACCACCTTCACATCACTCAAGAGGAAGCTTGCACGATACTTTAGCTCTCTTGCTTGAAGCTGGAATTGTTTCTGGGTCATTGACTTAGTGTTTTGATCTTTTCTTTACTGCTTTTGTAAGAAATGGTTTTTGTTTCTAGGTTTTGTTTTCAGTACTTGGTAATTGTGTTTATTATAATCCTCATATCAGCTTTTGCTGCCTTCCCTGTGTTTCCTGTGTGCAGCTGTTAGGTCTCCCTCACTGTAGGTTGGTTTCTTCTCTTTTTATTTTGCCAGTCTCTGATCCCACCTGCTGTATGTGCACATCCTTACTACTTGGTAGTGTGTTTTCCTTGCTCCGGATTCTCTTGGCGATAGCGGGTGTTTATCAGCCAAAGACCTGTCTCATTTTGGTTCAGCTCTCAGTTGAGAGGTGTCCCATCACCCTTACCATTAGCCACACTGAGGGTCTTCACCACTTACATCGGCCTGCAGCCAAGCCGCCTAAATTCTCTACATGATCATCGGCCTGTAACCGCCACCAGAAGGTCTTCTACACCTTCGTTGATCTCTGGCTGTGCTGCCAGAGGGTCTTTGCAGAGACCCTCAGCCTCCAAAGGACAAAGCTTTCAGTGGTCTCCTGTCAGACCCTCCATCACTATCATCCAGATTCATCTCAGCCACCAGGGTTGATTTGTTTCACAGCCAGCCCCTGACCTGGCTTCCCTCTTCTGCTGGTTCCGTGGCCAGCACCCAGAGCTGCTCCACTCAACACCACTCAAAGAGTTCTTTAAGTCTCCCCTTTGCATTTCCATTCCTTCTCATGAGTCCTGCATTTGGATGCACATCCTGTCAACTACACTGGCAAATTGTGACAGACGCAGCCTCATTCTCCCAAACCAGAGGGTGCATTTCATGTGGGTGCAAACCACTCCAGTGCATGATGAAGGTGACACTCTGATGAAGCCAACAGTATCACATCGTCCACAAAAAAATACAAATACGTCTCCTCAGTCACTTCTCCAAGTCAACGAAACACACGTATACTGGAGGGTCAGCCTGCCATGATACCCCAGAAGTCCTGCAAAGGGTAACAATCTGGTTGAAGGTTCAATGATTGCCAAGAGCCTCCTTTCCAGCAGGGGAATAAAGCTATAACTTGTTTTTTTAAATGCACAGGCGATATAGGAAACGCTCGGGTCACCAGACTCAAAGTTCCTCGAAGTGCTCTTTCCATAACCCAAAAATATCCCCAGTCCAGGTCAGCATTTCTTCTGCCCAAACATGACCCGAGCCCAGCCCTGCTTTCACATTTATTCATGTAATATTGAGATATTTCAGTGTTACCTCATCATACTAAAACATATTCTGCAAAGAACACACTTTTCCTCGGTTTGGGTTCTGTTAGTACACGTAATATACAGTGTTGAACTTACACAGTGTGCAGATTTATACTAATCAAACACAGAAAGTTGTTCTACTATTGCAAAATGATCATTTTGACTCCACAATCCTACAAGTAGCCACATCTGCAAATGTTTCTAGCTTGTTGTGCATCTGATCATATACAACATTAGATTATTCTACATACAATGGGAATTACTTTTTAACCTACATAAACAATGGCACAACACGTAACATCAAAACCTGATACACAGCTGCCCATTGTGCCTGTTTGCTTCTTTAGCCGTCACAGTTGTTGTCTGAAAGCCAACAAAGACGGATTTTTCTTTACCAAGTGGATCATCACAGCCTTGCCGTGTTGGTCCATTTGATCGACCTTTATGGTTACTATTTTTATTATTTTATTTTCTGTTGTTACAGACGGGACAGACATGACTGGGGGGGGAAAGGGAGAAAGAAAGATGAAGGAAAAGAAAAGCAGGGGGGAAGAGGGAGAGTGAGGAAGGACACTTAAAAAGAAAAGAAACTCCCGGATCACCTGCTGAGAGAGAAAAAGAGAAAACAAGCAAAACAAGAGAGCAACATAATAAACACAACACCATCGCATTAATCTAGCTAAGTGTAAATAACAGTAAATACTAAATATTGAATTTTGTTATGCAGCGTGGCGCACAATGTGCTATGAGGTAGTAGCCAAGAAAGGTGTAGTTTGTGTCTGTGAACACCTGTGTGCACACCTGTGTGGATCAGCACGCTTGTATTCAAAAAGCTAAGGAGCTTCTTAGACTACGATGACCTGGAGGACTGAGAACCTTCACAGGCATATTGTATTCAAAAGGTTTCTCCACATAACGATCTGCTAGAGCAGGGGTGTCGAACTCCAGGCCTCGAGGGCCGGTGTCCTGCAGGTTTGAGATCTCACCCTGAGTCAACACACCTGAATCACATGATTAGTTCATTACCAGGCCTGTGGAGAACTTCAAGACATGTTGAGGAGGTGATTTAGCCGTTTAAATCAGCTGTGCTGGATCAAGGACACATCTAAAACATGCAGGACACCGGCACCTCGAGGCCTGGAGTTCGACACCTGTTTGCTAGAGGGTGTGGGGAGCTATAGCCCCGTCCCCCAGGGCAGGCATGGAGGAGATCCAGGCCCCAGACATCTACATGCCCCCAGAGTGCGAGAGCCCAAGGAGGACCGCCGGAGGGACATCCGTGCCACCCTCCTGGGAAGAGCTGAGGAGAGCCACAGATGAAGGGTTACCCAGCAGCCACAGAGCAGAAGCCAGAGGAGGCTGCAGTGGCACATCCCCGGGCTCTGCCGGCAGCCAGCTGTGCCAGAGTGAACTGAGCCCCAGGCCCAGAGGCCAGAGGTCTGAAGACCCCCACCCCCCGGAAGGGGCCCGACTGAGCCATGGGTGGCAGGCCCTGCCATGCAGCCACCGGGAGTGAGCCGGTACATACCCAAGCACCCCAAGAAACAAGATCCACCAACGCACCTACGCCTGAGGGCATCAGCCACCGGCAGGGAGTGTGGTGAGGGGAGATAGGCCTCCATTCTTTGGAGGGCCTGGGAGTTCCCAGAGGGGTGGAGTCTGAGACCCGACCTGACGTATAGACAGACAAACAGGCACACACAGACACAAACTTGCATTCCCCCCTCATGCACACATATACAAACACTCGGCACTCAACCATTGTGGAGACAGACACAAATGGACACTGTACACACAATCACACTCCCCAAACATACTCTATACCCCAGGTCCAGGTACCCTCGCCCGCAGAGGAGGAAACTGCACCTTGACCCAGAAGATGTTACCCTTCCCCCGGGGTGGAGACAAGCAGACCCTGCCCTGCAGCAGCAGGGAGGCCCAGCATCCCAGACCCCAACTGGACGGCCAACACCTCTGTCCAGCCCCTCCGCCCCAATGGCTATCAGAGAATGGGGGTGTGTGACGACCCCATACCTCCCTCCTTCCGCTCAGTGTAGTGTTGCTGCGTGTTGTTCTAAAGTGCATTTAAAACATGGAAGGGCATGGTAAAATTTAGAAAATTATAGCCAAGATGACGACCGTTAAGGGAGAGAAGTGTACAACCTTCCAATGGTCACAAATAAACTCTATACCTTTAGTGCATTGCTCATCCATCTGATTCTCAGTGTAAATAAACTTTGGGTCTCGTAATAGCAAAGCTAAAAGCAGTTTTATGAGACACAGAAATGGGTAACACACTTCATCTACTACCAAGAAAGAATAATCAGCCATAATGCAATAAGTCTTACATCATAGATGCTGAGTTTTGCCAGTTTCTTATATGGTCCTTGTTGATGTTTTCCTCTACACTCCTCATCCAGCCTTCATCAGGAAGGACAATCATCATGGAGGTGTGACTCTCGTATGGCAGCAAGATGATGCTGGTGTGGTTCGCTCTGTCCTCAAAGATGTGGTAGTATCCCGTCCTTACCATCATGTCAACCTGAACTTTGGTCCTGCTGTCAACATGGAAGTCCGCCTTATGTGTCATTTCACTATTAAATGGTTTCTTCCAGTATCCTGCCCGACACAGTGGAGAGTGGTGATGACAATATTGGGATGTGTCAGCATAAATCATACTACTTGTTGAAAGTATATTTCAATCATCAGCTGACATCTAAGCTGACCTTTTTTATTTAAATATATGTAATATTCATGTTTGTCTGTTGTAGCCTAACAATAGACTTGATCAGGCTGCTTACCTTTAAAATAGACATAGTTAATGAGCATCATCATCGTTTCAGGGTCAACATCGTTCACCATATCTTTGATCTTGTCCTGTGTTTTATTGGCAATGTGTCTGTTGATTTTATCTGCAGCCTCAGCAGGGTTAGTAAAGTTGATTTGTAAGACCTCACCAGAGTAATGCTGCTTGACATCATTCAGAAACTTCTCCAGGGGACTGAAACCTGAGTGCACTGCAATGGTATTGCCAACATCCAGCTTTTGGTTCTCCTGGCTTTGTCCAAGCACGTGGAAAAGATGTTGGTAGGCTTCATTGACCTGAGTCTGGTTTAAGGTGCTGTAGCCCAGGCTGGAGAACAGCTGGCTGTGGGTTTCACTATGGGCCCCAGTAGACAGTACGGACAGGGCAGTGGAGATGCCCAGTGGTGAGAAGAAAATGTTGTTTCCAGCAGCAGTCCTCGCATTCAGACGTTTGTACAGGGCAAAGGCAAAGTCAGCATTAGGAGCAGAGAGCTTGTGGCAGCTCATATGGTCTTCAGAACCACGGTTGTGGTGGAGATGGTGGTCTGCCGAGGCTACAGCGAGCAACAGTGCAATGAGTGCACAGCTACAGAAATGCATCTTTAGAGTCTGTGGATCAAAAAGCAAAGTTAAAATGATACAAAATGAGTTCCAGTTAAAGTTTTTCATTACAGGCAGTTATCTATCTGTAAATCATAATTCCTCAACCTTTGGTAAAAAAGAAGTAATCTAATTAAATCTTTCATCTACCACCTTTACAGGGGCAGCAGTCTGAGCAGAGAAGTACACACTTCCCTTACCCCAGCCACCTCTTCCAGCTTATCCGAGATAGACTGACTTGTTCCCAAACAAGGCAAAAATTATAATCTCTCCAGCAACTCCTGGGCCTGCCCTGTAGCCTCCTCCCAGTATGAGATTCAAACAGCTCACCTAGGTTTCCAGTAGTCATCCTAGTCAGATGCCTGTACCACCTCAGCTGGCTGTTTTCCATTTGGAGGAGCAACGGTGCTGCTTTGAATGTCAAAGCTCCCACCCTATCCTTAAGTAAGAGCTCAGACATCCTTTAAAGGAAACTCAGTGCTGTTGTTTGTATCCGCAACATCGTTCATTCGGTCGCTTCATGGGACCTTGTGACAATAGGACCATAGATTGACTGGTAAATTGACAGCTTTGCTTTTATGCTCCACGCTCCTCTCACTCATAAACAACACCTTGAGACCCAGGCCCGAGTAAGCTACCCCACCCTTTTCCTTCGGAGAACCATGGTGCTGATTCTCATTTCTGTTTCTTCACACTTGACCGCAAACTGCCCCCGATCAAGCCAACGAAACTCCATCATTGTTGTGTACATCCTCCACCACCGTGCAACATCGAAATATTCTGTCCATAAGAATTATGACCAGAATTGTGACAAGCTGTAGCAGAAATGGAAGCAAGTGTGGTTTACTGCTGAAGATACAAACTAGGCACTCGCCATGGCCTGCAACAACAAGCCAGACACCTCATAATCTCGAAGCACCGCCCTGCTCTAAGTCCACAAAACAGATGGTTGGGCAAACTCCCATCCCTTGAATGTCCTCAAGAGAATAAAGAGTTGCTCCAGTGTAGGGATGAGTACTGGTTCTGACATAAACGGTAGTAACCAGACCGAAAAGCAGCGCACATTTCGGTGCTTTATTTTCCTGAGCTGTGATACTGAGCTGTGATACACTTCTAGCCAATCATTTTACGTTTCCGAGGATAGTAGGCGGGGCCAGGTACGTACGTTCTTTTAGAGCAGAGCTACAGATTTAAAATGCCCAAGGCGAAGCGGTCAAAAGTCTGGCTGTACTTCACAGCAAAATATGCAAACTCAGCAGCAACAAGTGCTTTAAGCTGATACTGTGATGCTGTCAAAGGAGGTAACACCAAGAATCTGATGAAACACCTGGCGACGCATAGCGTTTTTTTTAAAAGCCGAGAAATGCGCCGTATTTGATAGCTTGCTGCGAGACCTCACACCGAGCACATCTACTGCGGGTGTGGTGCCTGTTATCAGACCCGGAGTTAGCAACATCCCCCAGAAACCCGAAGAGTAGAGTCCTGGCCCCTAGCCCTGCCAGTGTAGCAGAAATGATGAGGATGATGATGCAGCAGCAGCCGTTCTTCTCTGCGTGAGTAGCTTAATGTTGTTGGTGTGTAATTTACGTTGAGTAGGCTAACCACGTTATTACATTAATGCATGTAAGGTGAACTAGCAAACATCATCATAGCTACATGTGGCTGTCTTCTTGTTTGATGGCAGATGCTCCCTTCACCCTGGACAAAAAGGCTAAAATGACCAAAGTGGAAAACAGCTAAACATGAGAAGTTTTTGGACAAAGTGTGTGTTCTTCATTCTTTCATGCACCGTTTAAGCACCGGCACCGTTTCAAAAGTACCGACTTGGTACTGGTATCGGATAAAACCTAATCGATACCCATCCCTACTCCAGTGTTACATGGGCAGAATGATAACTTATCCTGAAGGTATTCGAACCTGAAGGCACAGAACCACAGGCAGAGAACCAGGGGGATACAAGTAACCTACTCCTGCCCACTGCCTCTCACCTGGGGCACCTCCAGAGTGGAACAATTATATTTTCTAATGAAATAATGCAGTTACAGTATCTGAAGTCTAAAGGGAGTTATTATTGTTTACCTTTATCTTTCATACTTTAGCAGACTCATTTTCCCAAATATTTCCTGGTAATGTAGTCAAAGGAGCTTTTAAAGAAAAGCGTCTGGACTTCTTTAAGTTGCTTGAAGACGTTTCACCTCTCATCCGAGGAGCTTCTTCAGTTCTAAGGACTTAGAACTGAAGAAGCTCCTTTGACTACAATGACCTGGATGACTGAGAACCTTCACAGATATTTCCTGTTAATCTACTGTCAGCTTACATTACTGTGGCTCAATGAATCGCTCAAACATTATTTGCCATTACAGTAGCTTACAGTTGTACTATGATGGCCACACTCCCCTTGAAATACGCAAAATATCTGCACCTACAGTCAAAGAGGCAGAAAAATATAGCAGTACACCTTGAGAAAACTTGGTTGCGCTCTATTACAGCAGTAATGTTGCAATAGTGGGTGGAAACAAGGTAAACATATGGAAATAGCGAGTTAGTATCACTTTATTAACAATGTAATATTCAAGTAATAAGCAAGTAACATCCTGCACCAGCAGTGGTGTCAGCCGCAAGTAGGTAGCAGGCGGCCACAGCACAAAACCACAAAATAATAGCAAAGTAATGTTTTGGTAAAACTTTTAAAACCTGCTGCCAGCAGAACAGAAACATCAGGGAAACTTTTCTATACTTACTTCAAAGTCGTAGCAGTTTTAGCATTTTGCAGTCCTGGTTGTTTTTGATTACACAGAAATTAATTCACTTTTTTCTAAGTAATCATCAGACTTTATGGATTTTGCTTGAATGCGTTATTAACATAGAATTAAAGCTGTATTTGTCAGGCTGGATTCTCTGCACAGAAAATACAAAACTTGCTTCCACATAACAGGAAACCAAAAATGAACAAAGACAAATGCTGGAGATAAAAGCATAAAATCAGTTCCGATATTATATTGTTGTAATCTGATCCTTAAAATGTTGGAACATCTACAATGATTAATTATTTATTTTGAGGTTTAAATCATTTTAATGTTAGGAAACTCGAATGCACAGAACTTGATGTTTCCATATCTTCCCCTTCTCGTTTGTGCCGTATTGCCGCACTGTCACCTGTTACCGAAACCTTTATCAAAATGTTCAGTGTGTCAGTTTCTCTGCCACAGTAGATGTTTGACTTGTACATACGGATAAAAACAAAGAGCAGAATGAACTGAAATTTTGAGAACAACTCATAACACCGTAATAAAATACAACGAATGAAAAGAATGAAAGAAGCAGTCAATTAATGGAGGCTTATGCTTACCATTAACATCTTATTTAGTGCAGTTTCCAGAAACTCTGTTTTTTGTTTTCAGCAAGATTAAAGAAAGTTCGCTGACATTTCTGTTAACGATTAACACAGATCAGCACTCTCTTTACAGAACTTTTGGATTGATTAATTTGACTTCGTTCATGCAACAAGACTTGCTCAACAGCACAGGTAAATAACTGAGTGAAGAAATGAAAACAACTGTTCGAAAAAACAGAAGACAGCAGAAATCTGGAGCCTTTTCATGAAATACATGGTACCTTTTTTTCAACAATCATGTTTAACTGAACTTGCAAATCATACAGGCAACAGACAGCAAAACTTTATATGGATATTTATTTAACCTCCTAGGACCTGGCATCCACATATGTGGAC